GCAACTGTTCTGTCTGAGGCGGTGCAAGATTTCCGTCATTGGAACAAATTTGTTTCTGGAGGTTTTCAATGCCAATGTTAAGAAGGGGGTACGGGGCTGTAAGAAATCTACGTTGTAAAAGCGGTGCAAGATTTCCTCCATCCACAGTATAGGAGAGTATTATAGGGCTTATCAAGGGGGATACTAGGAGTTTAGACATAGCCTATAGCTCATTTGGAGCGTTGATATCCAAGGCCAACACTCTGGCCGCTTATCCTCAGGCTTGCAGGGCCCTTACTACAAAACCCGATACTATTACTATTACGAGTACTATTCCTATTACTATTATGATTACTATTCCTATTCCTATTACAATTACTATTACTTTTTATGATTACCATTGCTAGGACTATCACTATTACTGTTACTGTTACTATTGTTGTCTTTTGTTGGTAAAGTTTTCATGGAGGCCCACACGAATGCCGATGAAGCAGCGCAGCTAACATCAAACTCCAGGGACGATCAACTGCTTAATACCATCCTCGCACAGCCTAACAGTGGGAAAATCTGAAGTGACCGCCTGAAACCCCGACCCTAAACCCTAAACCCCAAAGTCCAAATCCGGCCAAGCCAGGGGCCCTTCTGACCTTCTCGAAGAGCCTTCAACTTTCGACGGCCCTCGCCAGCAAACCATCTCCAAAGAACCCAGCAGCTGCGCTTCAGATGACGATACCCCACCAGTAGTACTGTATGCAGGCAGTGATAGTTTGCGCAGTCGTCGTCATAGAATAAGCGGCCGAAGATACGATGCGATTAAATCGAACCAGGCTGCCCCTGTACGTGAGTAAGCTGGGTCAGAAAGGTACATGAATAAGATGTAGCAACAAGATTCACAAGTAATTACGATGGATAGGGAAGAGGCATGAATAAGGTGCCTGACTTCTTGGCCACGGGCATGACAAATTATCCTGATGAACTTCTAGCAAGTATTGACATGAAGAATCGGAGCCGCAAAGTGCTGATTCCCGAAAAAATGTTTTAGTCAACTATTTCAAACAGGCAATACCGAATTGACGCGTTCCGCCCACCCAACACCCCCCTCCCACACGCCGCCATAACCAGCCGGCTTCAAGACCGGCTGTGCCATTCGCGGCTGAAGCACAAAAACTCGCCCTAGCATGTGCTAGCTTCCGTGCAACAAAAGAAGGCCTGGGACCCTAGTTTGGAGTTTGTCTGGAATTGCTCGATGAGATTCATGTCCTGGCGGCAGCATGACAGAAGCATGCATGAACCTCTGCCACGCAAGTGTCCTTGAATCTCTCAGCCAAGTCCGTCCATTCCTCCTGCAATGAAATAAGCATCTCTAATGAGACCATGTGACCGTGACCCCAGCTGATCCACGCATTCAAATGTGTTGACCCATGTCAAACCCTGAAGAATACCAACATCTGAAGGCTCCCTTCTAGCTTGGAAGAAAGTCTGTCGTGCAACTGCAAGGAGGAAGCATTCATCAAATTTCGGAATCCTCGGTCATGACGGCCCCCGAAGGGAAATTCAACTTCAGATCCTGCCAGAACAGAGAGATCCAGTCTGTTGGTCCAAGATCCTGCAGATAAGCTCCTCAAGCTTTTGAGCTGGCGGTGGTGCTGGCGCGGGACTAGCTGAAGTGCCTGGCTGAGATGCCAAAGTCAAGAACTGTCAGCAGACAAGAATGATAGTCTTGTAAGCTGAGCGGCCTGTGGAGCCTGTCGATACCTTAGCTGACATCCCACATTGCGAGAATTTGGACCCCAAAGAGATCTTAGGACAACACCGGACGCCCGGCAGCAACAGCTTCAGCCTAGCAGCGGATACATGGGATCTAACCCCCGTACTGAAGACTCATGAGTTAAGAGCCTCCGCTTTGGCAGCTTCTAGATTTGCCTTTGCTGCAGCCAGTTCTGCCCTTGCTTTTGCAAGGATTGGATCCTCACCCGGAGGCACCTGGACATCTACAACAAACACATCTTGTGTAAGTTCAACTGTGTGAATGGACAAGTCCAGCCTCCACCCGAACATCAGCCGCTGTCGAGTCTTCAGTCTCTTGGGCCTCTGCAGCCTCTCGCAGAGTGCGAGAAGCCTTCACTTCCTCCTGGCATGCTCTTCGCAACACATGCGGCAACCTCTTCCATCCAAGCTACATACATTAGACTCGTCACTAGACACCTCTTCGCGCGCAGCTTCGCGCCGCAAAGCCTCCAGGAGGAAATTCAATGTTGCAACACTACACACATCGTTACCGTTGCCTCAGCTTGTGCAAGAAGAGCTGCAACCTGTTGCAGTGTAAGGAAGATAACATGCATTTACCTTACCTGCATGTTGGCTAGATTGCACCACTTAAAAGTCCATCAACGACAAAGGTAACGAGCATGAGCCTCGTCAGCATCTTCTGCCCGCCGTGCTATTCGACTGAACCCACGTTGCGCTTGTCGAACACTGGTTCCCACGAATGGCAGCAATGCCTTCCAGGGTAGGACAACCACAATAAATTCCAAGAAAACATTGGTGAAGCATCTTATTGGACACCTCGCTTTCATAGTGCGGGCCCACTCTCACCAAGTGATGGCTGCACAAAATAGCACCTTGTTCCATCAACAGGTGCGATCTGAATCCGCTCTAGCAAAGCGGATCACTAACTGAGAAGAGCTCCGGCTATTAGCATGGACGAAGCCCCAGGGCATTTCCGCCTTTGCCATGCCATGCTTTCGGAGGCGCATAAACTAGCACTTCAAGCTGTGAGTCTAAAAAGAGTTAAGATGTCACGAGCACTACAGAGGATCATCCATTGCACTTAAGCAAAAAGCGCCGAATAAAAGCTACTCTCATGCCACCCGATGGCTGAATTAAAGAATGTCTGTTAGCAGTGTTCCGTGCAGTTGCGAATGGCATTTGTACCTTGGCTTGAACAAACAAAACATATAACAACGCGTGGAACACACCAATACCCATGAATCTGAGGCAACACATGTTTGTGCCGACAGTAAACCACCACTCAGCAAAGCTTCAATTGTTGCAAGTCACAAGCATCACTCAGTCAGAGCCAGCTCCAGTGCTAGCGGGTGAAACCAAATTCTACCACTCAGAACCTTCATACAAGTCAGGATATAGTATTGAAGTTATATTGGGGTTATATGGGCAACCCCTAAACCCTTAAACCCTAAACCCTTTATACCACCAGAGCTTGGAGGCTCTGAGTAGCAGACATTGCTAGCTTTTGCTTACAGGTCAGAGGGCGAGAGCACGAAGTCTGGCCTCAGCTGACTGGGCACTGAGATTCCCATACCCCTTAAAATGGAGGTTATATAGGGATAATGGAAAAGAAGATGAAAACTACTGTTGAGGGTTTGGCCTTCGTAGGGAATAAAGAAAAACAGCATGTAGGGATTCTGTTGGGATTATATTCCCTCATTCCCTACTAAGAGTAGTTGGGACTGGTGGTTTGTATGGCTGAATACTTCTCAAATAGGCGGCAGTTTCGAAAACAACGGGATTCATGTCAAGAACACTGGGTTAACTTATTCCAGCGTTAAACAGCAAACAAGAAAATCGATTTGATGCTTAAAGGAACAGCTATCACAACAACCTCTGAGCAAACCACCATAATGACCAAACAGTCAACCCCTTCATAACTACAGGGCCTGAGAATGCTTCAGTGCTGCACACCACTGAACTCCATGATTCACGACCCATGCCGACACATGCTTCGCGCCCCCTCTCCAAAGCCACTATCCCACACATATTCTGATTTCCAGTCAGCACTGGTCTGCCTGCTAACTGGTCGTCCTGCTACGAGTAGCCACACGAACACGCATCCCAGTCACGAGGTTACCAACTCTTTGCCAAGTGGCGAAGTGCTTGAACTTCCCCAATCGTACACTTTCTTCACAAGGTCCTTGATAAGCTCGGCATTTATCGGTTTACCTCTGTTTTTTCCTTCTCGAAATCCAGTTTGGGCATCGCAAATGCAGGTGCAATCATGTGCCTTGGCCTGCGCGGCGTACCTTCATGGCTCTGGGCGACGCTCTCTGGGGATCCCAAACCTTCTTAACTATTTTTGTTGCCCTTACTCCTATTTCTTGTACGAGTTCACCCAGCTAAGCATTTGGAATCCATGCCTCAGCAGCCAACATGACGTGATGCCCCCCGTGAAACCCACCACCTTTCCCCGATACTCGGCAGGGATTTCCGGCACCGCATCTGGAGCTTTTCCTGAACCAGCCGAATTGTCGAAAAAGGCCACAACATTCCTTGCCGGGAGCGGGTCATCATATCGGTTTTTGCACAGCTCGAGGACCTTTCGAATAAAGGGCCCGGAGTCGACTGCGGCTGTTCCCTCTTCGGCAGCTTTCTGGAAGACCCAACCGGTATATTCATCAAATACAAGTAATGGGTATATACAGGATAGTGGCAAGCTACTGCTTAGGATTTGGGGTTCATCGAACACCTTATTCACCAAAAATCATGTCAAAGCTTACAAGAGAAGATAAGGTCAATCAAGGCATAACAGAACTACGCATCATCACAGTCTGCTTCAAACGTGGATGTTTCGAGGTGTTCAAGCACATGAAACCAAGGATATATAATTGGAAGTACTGACGGCATACAAGGACAGCACAGACTGGCAAAGGCAATGGCAAAAAGGGAGGCAGAGCGCAAACCAGGCTCAGGGACGACGGGAAAGTGGCAGCGCCTTCAGAAGCCATGTGCAATTTGCAACTCAAGCACGGAAACAAAACGCTCTGCTTGACGTACAACAAGACATCGTGCACCGACCCCAACTGCAAGCTCACGCATCTTTGTGCAGTCCGACTCCACAACAGAAAAGCAGCGGTCAAAGGCATCCAGCCAGCGTGCACCGCGCTAAGTCGCAGGCAAACAAGACCGAAAAGAGTGAAGCCCCAAAAGCAGTGCCGGCTTCTTGACAAACTCAGGGAGCCTTGAAGGGGGGGCGCCTTCCATAAAAACGTCTCCCTCGCCTACGCAACATGCAACAGCATCCACGAATGCGCACACACTTATAGGCACCTTATTCAATATGCAATGCAATCAAAACTCACTCAGTCTCCATCAAGTGTAATATCAAAAGATATTACAATCAAATGCACATGCAAAGGCGGACGCATTTAATCATTTTTCACATGGGGCATCCACGGCTGAGGTCAGGCTAGAAATGCACAAGCCCATCAGGGCACACACTGGACGCATGTTCCCGCAAGAGGCATCCCGCACGGAAATCCAGCACATTTCAAACATATTCATTCTGCATGTGGAGCGCTGTTCCCCAGGGTTGGGTGGGTGGGACAAATTTCTCTTCCTGCAAGAGCCAACTCGAATGTACAAGGATTTCGTCATCAAGAATGTGCAAATTGCACCAGAGTTCGGTAAACACCACAGATGATGTAAACCACCTTACCTGAAGCAGAGCGCGCTACCTGGGTGAGGAAGTTATAACCGGGTCTAGAGCGCTTAGGGAACATTACCCTACCCCATCAAAATTTACCCGAAGGACCCTAGACTCTAGACCCACTGGGGACCTGGCCCAAGCTGCGCAACAGGCAATTCTTCTCATCCAAAGGCGGAAGATGGGACGAGGGCAAAGGGACCGCGACATGGTAATGGTATTCCTCGATCAGCACCAGGGCCTTGGAAACCTTTGGCTGAGTCTGGCTAGCGGTCTTAGCACTGGCGTTCGACGCATCGGAAGGGGACGGCAGTACGTGAAGGTTTCCGGCAGCCAAGGCCGCGGCCGCGGCGAAACGAGAGCAGAATAGGTCAGGGTACTCAGTTTCAGCCGCAGTTGCGACTGCACCCGAAGGCAGCGATCGCACGTCACAGCAAGTGCCTGCAGCTCTTGCATAGACGTTCATAGCAATTGGTGTTTGTCTCTGTCCCCCGTGCATACACACATCATATTGAATATGCAAGCAATGGGGCTTCAACTGAAGAAAATCCGGGATCATCCACATGTACGACCTCAGAAGGTTCTCGATGAAAAAATGAGTCGGGAGGTCATGCTTGGACGCTTGACCTCGCAACCACACGCAAAACCTGGCTGCCTCGGAATAGATGCAGTTAGCCGAATCGAGCCTGGAGCGGTCGGCTTGGGACAGGTTGGGGAGCCCCAGGGGCCACTGTTCGCTGCAGCGGTTGAGGTCCTCGTTGGACGCAAGGGGGATCTCTCGAGCTCGGCTTGCAGTGACTTTTTTGACTTTGGATCGCTGCTAGACTGTCCAGCTAAGCGCAGTGAGCAGGACAGATTCGCCCGGCCATTTCTGGCGCATTTAATGCCTCGATTTCGGAGGTGGCCCGTAGACCCAGCGCGGGCAGCAAAGAGTGGCCGCTCGGTCCGCAAACCCAGCAGGGGACTACGACAATAAACATATAAAAAGGAAAAAACATTGTGGAAATGCGATTATTATCATTACCAACACTACTACTCTTATTACTACTACTGCTGTTACTGCTACTTCTACTACGATTACTAGTATCACTACTACTACTATTACCATTATTACAACAATTATTATTATTAGTATTAATACTATTATTAATACTATTACTATTATTATTAGAATATTATTATTATTAATATTATTATTATTATTACTACTCCTACTATTATTATTATTACTATTGTTATTGTTATTATTATTAGTATTATTGCTATTATTATTATACTAATATTACTATTAGTATTATTGCCATTATTTGTCATAATACGACGATTACTACGACGACTATTACTACCATTATTATTATTACTATTATTCTTATTACAGCGATTACTACTACTACTACTACTATTACTACTACTACTATTATTATTTCTATTATTACTATTACTACTACTATTATGAATATTACTACTACTATTACTATTACTACTACTACTATTATTACTATTATTACTACTACTACTACTGCTACTACTATTACTACTACTACTACTACTACTATTACTAGTACTACTACTATTACTATTATTACTATTATTATTATGATTACTACTACTACTACTACTACTGATACCACTATTGCTATTACCAGGTCTCAATCGCGACATAATGATGCAGGT